TAGACCCAAAAGGTCCTACATACATGGTACTATAGCACACGAAGGTCATGCAGGATTTTTAGTTTCAACAGCATTTAGAGAATGAAGGTGATGATGAACCAAAACTCTGATAACCTAATACCCTAAAAACTCCGAAACCCAAAAACCTAAGGCCTTAACCCTAAACCCTAAACCCTAAACCCTGAAGCCGTAGAATTCCGGCTGTCAGGCCCACCTTTGCCAGCCAGGCCCAGGCGAAGGCTCCCTTCTTGGTCAATTGGGGTTTGCTTAGGGTTTTTTTAGGGTATATACATATATAGGGTTAGGATTTAGGGTTTATATATTATATAAAAGAGTGGTTACCAAATTCAGGTCCATACATACATATATATATATATATGTGTGTGTATGTATATGAGTAGATATATATATATATATACGTATGGTTCTAGGCCGTAGGCTTAGGAATTTAGGAATGTTTATAAAGGGGTGCATGTACATATGCCTACATATACATATATCAATATATAGTAATGTTATGTAAGTGTATACCTATACATTTTACATGCATCTATATATATATATACACATATAGCGACATGGCTTTTAGGGTTTAGGTTTAGGAATGGAGAATCAAACTCATTAGACGTCATTAAAGGGTCATTTTTCAGGAGATGTAGGGATATAAAGGGGCTGTAGACATCGTGGAGTGTTAAAGGGAAAAAAGATTAACAAAAAGATGGAATCTGGGGATTTACATTGGGTTATTGAGGATTGTAGTGTAGGGGCCTAAAACACTGAAATATGGTTGGGGTGTATCTCATAGTACAAATATACAAGGGTTAGTTGGAAGCAAGTAAAATTGGAAATTTTTGATAATGATTGGCAATTAGTCAGGCTTCTATGTTACCTGGGTGGACCCCCCATATATGAAAAAGCAACTGACAAATGCCCCAGAAGCCGGGATTGAAAAAGGGAAGCCCACAACTCTATACATGGGTTATATATCTCAGGTGGGACCCTCGCAAAAACGGTGTGGTAGAAATTTAGGATGTTATGAGGACATCAACATAAACATCATTATCCCTTAACGCCGCGATTAGCGGTGGGGTGGGGGGTCACCGTGGACACGCCTGAGTAGCTAGTCACATTGTTAAATGGCAAAATTCTGTATGACCCTTAGTACTTAGTAGTTTGCAATATGAGAACTTCTGGGGGGTCATCCTCCCTAATTGTACTTTGTGGCATCCTGAGCGACGTGTAGTTGTGATATGATACTCGAAACACCATTCCTTGATCCTGTCGCAGCGTTTAGGAAACCTTGGGGGGGGGGATGATCTGCAATCATATTCCAACTTCTGAGTACCAGCCCATGTTTTTTTGAGGTCCGAGTTGGGTCGGGCTGGAAGTTGCTGAGCAGATGAATGCACGTGACGATACTCCGAACTCTAGATTTGTTAAAACCCACGCTGCAACAGTCATGCCAGTTTCAAGTTACACCTCCATGTAAACATGTGGAACTCAAAGCCTGCCTATCTCAACCCCAAAGCTACGCTCCAACCCTTGAGACCTTTGAAGAGCTGAGAATGAGGGCTCCTTTTTTGTGATTCCCCCCCAACCACAGCAATGGGGTCTTAATGCCCCCGCCCTCCGGGACCCCCGCCCCCCGGTCAGATTCCTGGCTCCATCGGCCAGCCAACGGTCGAGCGGTTTAGCGTGTGCTCCTCAAAGGTTTGCAGTTTCAGGGTGCGTGAGGTAGGGCGACTCAGATGATGGCAAACTTTGTTTCAAGGAGCTGTTTTACCTCCAGAGGCTTGGGGTACAACCCTTCAGCAAAAAGGAACAGGACAGGCTTCCACGGACGATTGCCGGGAGCACTGTAGGGCACATTTGAAGCCCCATGCGGGAGCCCTCTTTGATGGTCAGCTGGATTTTCTGAGAAAGTTGCATAATTAACAGCTTGCATCCAGCCTTGAGGATTGTTGTCCAAGTGTGTAAGGGATTCAGGAGGTACTCATCAAGCATGCGGAAAAGACTGACTTGGAGGTCTGACTTCTAAGTGGCACTGAGGTCACCGCTCTTCATGGCATTGCATGTTGAGCTTGTCTTTTGCTTTCTAGCTGCGTGAACTTGGTTGCAGTGGAACGTGTCTTACGTATGCGGCTTATGGTTGGAGCGCACCTCTGGAAGGAGATGTGGCCGGTGCCCAAACAGCTGTAGTTGAGGTTTGCGGCGTCTTCAGGTTAAAATTCACACTTCGGCACCGTGCCTACCAGGTCTTTGGAATACTCCAGGTTCTGACGCCCTTGGAAGCAAAACAAGTTCGGAGACCGACAACTCTGAAACAGCGCGCCCTTGAAACCAAGGCCTTCAAAGTGAATCTCACCCAAGCAAGCACACAAGATTGTAGGCCTGTTCCAGCCACCAGGTTGATACATACCGTGCACGCATTTGTGTGGCGCATTCTAGCAAAGTCAGGTAGTCAGGTAGATGAAGGAGGGCAGCTGCGAGTCGTTGGGTTCGTACGGTTGTGCTTCTCCACTGTTTGGTTGGCCCTTAGGACCTTAGGAGCTATCCTACTACCTACTGGTGGTTAGTAGGGAATGAGGGAATAAAGTGCCAATGTAACCCCTCTATAATATCCTTTGCTTTATTCCCTGCTGACCCCCAATATATACCCTATTATAATGTAGTAGTTTCCATTTTCTTTTCCATTATCCCTATACAACCCCAATATTTTCCCTTTTCCTTAATCCACAGTAGGCAAGCAATAAGAGGAAGAGATCCCGTGCTTCCAGCCTTGCGATGTCCTCAGGTGAGGCTCATTACGGCAGAAAGGTTCACTCTTCGGGGAACTCTGACGATCCTGCAGGACCATGGCCGGGAATGTGGCAGTTTCCCAAAGTAGGGGGGCCCCAACGTAGAACCCCAAATGCTATAATCCTTATTAGAAAAGGCACCCCCGAAAAGGTACCCCTAATTTTGGGAAAGCTCTATGTTGTACCTTCTTCCAGAGAGGTGGTACAGCCTTCCTTAATTTCTGGAAGTGCACGTCGGCTGCACCACCATGCTGCGAAAAGCAGACCCCTTCTGCTCATGACTGGTGCAACAGTAGCTATTCCTGAGATCCTGTTGAGTGATTGCATGTCAAAGGTGCTATAGGAAGATGGGCTGAAGACAACGATATGGGTAGTTGTCGAAATCATGGCCCCTTTTTGGATCCCTATTATAATGCGGCACCTAATAGTTAGGGTACCCAAAAAGGGACCATAATTTTGACAACCCATATGTCTTAGACTGCCCGTCCCAGCTACAGGACACGTGCAGCATTCTGGTCAGCTGCCCTTTGGGAGCCTTTGACCTAGTAGCCAACGGTGTAGAAGGCAGGAAAGGCCTTTGTGGTGTACCGGCAGTTTAGGGGGAGCTTCGGACGCTTGTTCTTACACCTTGGGGGGTGGACATATTTTGAGCTATGGTCTCAGGATCAGGGGACAAGGTTGGGCCAAGGTTTTGACATCTAAAGTTGCAGCCCTTAAGGGACTAGTCATGTTATAAATGCTACCTACGACTAATTGAGGGTGCCCACAAACCCCGCGCGAGTCCCAGTCCCAAATTCCCAAAACTCTGAACCCCCGAACAGCCTGTACTCTCTATACCTCACACCCCTCGAGCGCCTTGAGCCTGCATCTTACACACCTTGCACCATGAAATCTGACACTCTGAGCAACTCACAGCCCAAAGTTCAACACCCAAATCTTCTCAACTTCCCCTTGTTTTTGCGCTCCTAAATCCACCCCCAAGCCCTGAAATCCCAAACGCCTGAAACGAACAGCCGTAGACCTTCAAGCCGACTTTCCTAACTCCTTGGAAGCTTGACCAATAGCCTAAGTACAAGCTCAATCCCCCAAACTCTGGAACGTACAGCCCTATATATCCCTGTACGCCACCATTGTGCATTAGATTTTCTCTGTGTTTTGCCACTAGTCCTAAGCCCAACATATTTCCTTTGTAACCGCCATATAATCTCTTTTCGTTCCCTACATACGTCCTACAGAACCCCTACATAATCCCTATATCATCACTACCTAATCCGTGTATAATCCCCATATCATCCTCATGTAACCCCACATAGCCTGCCATCATCCCTGTATAGCTTGTTATAGAGAACCTATACCATCCTGGTTTCATCCCTACATAATCCTGATGTAACCCCATATAACCCTCTGTACTCCCTTGGCCCTTTAGAGGCGCGATGCCTACTGACCTCGGTCGGACTGCTGCCGGTGACGGCGAGGCGATGGTGTTGTCGCCGCCAGCCAGGGAGGGGGCCGGAGCCCTAGGCCTGAGAGCAACGCGCAAAGGGGTTCAGATGGCGCTATATGGCGGTTATATACGGTTATATGGCGTGCATATATTATAAAGCTTCACAGATATTATGCAGGGCTGCATTGGGATTATGTTGGGATTATATGGGTCTTGGTAAGGTTGTGGCTGAGGAAGGGAAACTCACATGGAACACCGGAAGAGGAAATGGAGGGATGCATAGAGTTTGGGTTAGTGTTTGGGGTTTACTTCCTGGTGAGACTTTTCCAATCAGGTGCATGCTGCTCATGCTTAGGGGGACTACAGGGAACGGCAAAACCCAATCATTCAAATGTTTTGGTGGGGATTCTTATTGTAAGCAAGTTTAATGCCTACAGTTACAGGCTTCCTTGGGTTCCTCCTATGCCCAGGCCTCCAGCTGGGCGGCAGCGCTGGCAGCTCGCTTCGCGCCCCTTGGAGTCAACAGTACTGGAGTATCGGCGAGTATGGTAATTTTTCCTCATAAGGGGATCCCAAGATAGACCCCTAAATACTAGAATCCTTACTGTAGGGACCCCCAATAAGGTGCCCCAAATCTTGGGAACCCCCATATTTGTGTCGATGCTATGGTCTTGCAGAGTGATAGTGTCTCATAGAAGTGCATGGTCTAGGCTTAGGGGGTGACCCTTTGTGTTGCCCAACAGCCGACATCGGAAGATGAATTGCAAGATCTCGTTTTGTTGCGAAATGCCTGGAGTTCTGACACTGTTGCATGTATCATAAGATCTCATGATGAGAAGGCTTATCTCTCAATTCCAAATGCAGTCAGTCACTAAATCCCAAACTCCTAAGCCGACATCCCACTCTCTATGCTACACCCAAAACCCAACCAAATGAGTTTTTTGTTTAAGACGGGGTCCCAATACAGACGATCATTTGTCTGCTTGATGCGTGATGACGAGGAGTATATTTGGACATGGGTATAATGGGCCTATTGGGTCTATTGAGTATATAGTCCCCCTTAAGTAGATAGAATATGGGGTATATGGGCATCTTATTACCATATACTCAAAGACAGATACTCTATCTACTTAAGGGGGATTCTATCTGATAGATCTCCAGAGCGGACCGAGACCGCAGCATTTTGCTGCTGACAAGCGCGAGTAACCTGGTTCTAAGCGCTCCCCCTGCGGCCATGGCAGACGAGGTGCTAAAGCCTAAAGCCTGAACCCCTAAACCCCATAGTCCCCCTTAAGTAGATAGAATATGGCTTTGGGTATATTATAAGAAGATTCCCATATACCCCATATTCTATCTACGTAGGGGGGACTATAAACCCTAAACTCCTAAACCATCCTAAGCCCTGAACCCTAACTCCCAAACTCTAAGCTCTCAAAAGGCACAGCTCATGCTGCAGCCAGAAGCGGGAAAGCCAGCCCGCTCCTGGGGACGTAGCCAGGCCAGGAAATCGACAACCGGGTTCAATGCAACTTCATCTTGATATACTTACTTTAGTGCATTTTCATATATTGTAGTACTGTATAGTATAGTATAGTATACTATACTATAGTATAGTATAGTATAGTATAGCATAGTATTATTTAAGAAGGAAATGGGTCTTAGCGGTCGGGGTGTTCAGGAGCGGGTTTGAGA